TTGAGAAAATTGTGAAATGGGTAGATAAAGATCTACTGAAAAGAGTGAATTGAAACCCAAATGTACTGCTTATCAAGCCAAGACACCACTGGAAATATTTATGTTTGGCAAGGAATTTCTAGAATATTTGAATCCAATAGGTACAAGTTACAAAATCGTAGCAAAATGAATTCAATCACAATCGACGAAATGAAGGTATTTTGGGGGATCTGTATGTACATGTTAGTTGTAGATTTATCATTTAGAAGATGGTAATGATCACTGCAAACAAGGCAGGAAATTATTTCAAATACAATGACCGTAAATCGTTGGGAAGAGATTTGTATGCATGTACATATATGCATGCTGTCCACTGTAGTGAACAAACTGTAGCAATTATTTAAAACGGAATTTGAATAAAAAAATTTTTTTTATTATTACTAAGGTTATTTTAAGTAGAAAAAATACAAACATTTTCGTTTAACTTCTTTAGATTATTTGTATGCAAGAAAGGGTTAACCCGAGATATAATTTTAAACTTTCTTTTAGCTTCTATTTATTTTCAAAATGTAAAATCTCACCAAAAAACATTACAAAATTCTATTTAGAAATATAGTTAAAGTTTGAAAAATTATGAAGAATATCATAAGTTTCATTTTTACAATATGCTATATCAATACTTCCCAAACTTTAAACATTACAACCCACATCGCAACTAGCACATTACTGTAAATTATCTGCATAGATTCTCTAAAATAAGTAAATCAGTTTTTATAAAATAAGCTTTTATTTAAAACCGAAAAAATAATTAATGAATTAAAAGCAGAAATACGGTTTATTGCAGTTTAATAAGAGTAAGAGATTAAATACATTTCTTTACAAAATTCATCTACAATTTTACATTATGAATAATGAAAACATAGGATATTCTTGATATACAAAGTTAATGGTTTACACTTTTGACAATGCAATTCAATTATTCAGTTTCATTAGTTTGGTGCCCAAGCTTATATTATTCATGCTATAAAATTTTAGATGAATTTTGTAAAGAGAATATTTTAATATCTTACTCCCATTAAACTATATATATATACTTTTTTACACTTTTAGTTCAACAATTATTTATGAGTTTTAAATAAAATTTTATTTTATAAAACTGTTTTATTATTTTTTTCCTCTTTTTAATTTCAATAACATTACCAATCCCATTATTGAACTGAAAAATCATTTTTCAACAATAAATAATCCTCCATCATTCCTAACCATTGTTTATATTGAATGATAGAAAATACCCAGTGATTTTGCTGGAAAATATCAGAAATAATATTAAAATCTCATATTAACTTCACAGTCTCAATTTGCATTTCCAAAACTTGTAATTTGGTTCAATAACTGCAACTAGTGTAAAACAGACTACTGCTTTAATCATTTCTTTACCCACCCCCATCTGTTATACAATAAATCCATAATCAGCCCATTTATTATTATATTATGTGATGTTTGTATCATAGCAAAATGACTACAGTATGAAGTTAATGTATGCTTGTTAAGTTACAGTTAAAGTACTATATGCTTGACAGCCAAAATATGCATCTTTTGCTATTTATGTTTTTATTTATTATATTTTTATGATATAAAATTATCAATCTTGCAACTTAGTAGTTTTAAAATTTCCAAACAGCGGTGTACAGCTAAATCTCATCATATGTTACATTTTTATTGCTGCCTATCTATAGAAAATTAGCACCTGATTGTTTTAACTGTTTTTCATTTTTAAATTTGCAATTTTTATATAGAAAAATTGAGAGTTCAAGGTTAACGGATATTCCTTGTAAATTATGTTAATGATTCAAAAGAGCTCATGTCTTTTTTTTTTTTTTTTTTTTAAATATAATAAATACAACTCACAAATTTTTCAACTAATAATATAGCCTTCATTCTACTGCATATTTGTGTCTTTATATGAAGAATATCTCTGCAAAAGTTTAAAAGGTTTATTGGCAAAGGACAAGGGTATTTAACCAATGAATTTGGATTTCTAATGTTCACACTGTATCCTGATATTTTAAATCTGAAAAATTGCTCCTTACAATATAAATAAATATTTGAAATCTTTATGAAAAGGCTACAAGTCTTAGTGCAGCTTCCCAATGGTTATAACACCATAACTTCCAATTTAATTTCAGTTCCCATAAAAAGCAAATTCCCCTGTTAGAATGATTTTATCAGATTTTCTTATTGTACAAATCAATATATAACTATTGGGTTGGCAACTAAGTAATTGCAGATTTCACTCATAGATGGCTTCAGTTAAATTTTTAGGGTTGCAGATGTAGTACAAATGTAAAACACATTTTGTTATTTGATAGTTGGCAATTCAGCTGTCAATCAGTAAAAAAAGTTTTTTGATCGGTTGTGTAGTTTTCGTTTGGCGTTTGTTGAAAAATGGAAAATCAAAAGGAACATTTTCGTCATATTTTGCTTTTTTATTTCCACAAAGGGAAAAACGCATCGCAAGCTCCTACAAAGTTATGTGCTGTTTATGGTAACGAAGCCTTAAAAGAACAGCAGTGTCAAAATTGGTTTGCCAAATTTAGTTCTGGTGATTTTTCATTCAAAGATGAAAAATGCTCTGGTCGTCCAGTTGAAGTTGATGACGACCTAATCAAAGCAATAATCGATTCGGATCGTCACAGTACAACACGTGAGATTGCAGAGAGCTTCATGTATCACAAACATGCATTGAAAATCACTTAAAACAACTTGGCTATGTTCAAAAACTCAATACATGGGTTCCTCACAAACGAACAGAAAAAAACGCATTTAACGCAACGCATTAACAGCTGCCATTTGCGTAATGAAAATGATGCCCTAAAGAAAGAACTAAAGAAACGTAATGAAAATGATCCATTTTTAAAACGACTGATAACTGGCGATGAAAAATGGGTTGTTTACAACAATATCAAGCGGAAAAGATCGTGGAGCAGGCTAGGTGAACCAACTCAAACAACATCAAAAGCTGATATTCATCAAAAAAAGGTTTTATTATCAGTTTGGTTGGGATTACAAAGGAATTGTCTACTTTGAACTCTTACCACCCAACCGGAATGATCAATTCTGATGTCTAATTGAACAACTAACGAAATTAAACAATGCAGTTGAAGAAAAGCAGGCTCGAATTGACAAATCGGAAAGGTGTTGTATTCTATCATGACAATGCAAGGCCGCACACATCTTTGGTCATTCGGCAAAAAATTATTGGAGCTTGGTTGGGATGTTTTGCCACATCTACCATATAGTCCTGACCTTGCACCATCTGATTACTTTTTGTTTCGATCTTTACAAAACTCCTTGAATGGTAAAAATTTCAATAATGATGATGATGTCAAATCTTACCTGATTCAGTTTTTTGCTAATAAAAACCAGAAGTTTTATGAACGTGGGATTATGATGCTGCCTGAAAGATGGCAAAAGGTCATTGATCAAAATGGGCAATACATTACAGAATAAAGTTATTTAGTTCCATGAAAAAATTGTCTTTGATTTTCTAAAAAAATCTGCAATTACTTAGTTGCCAACCCAATACATTGCATTAATAAAATCAAATTAATCAAAATTCATATAAACTTGATTACCTTAAAGTTCCAAACAGAAGAAATGTTTAATGAAACTGTGTTTTTAGAAATAGTAATTTTTATTACATTCAAAATGAGCTAAGACAATTGATATTTCCATTGTAACAATATTCTACATTGAATCAAAAATTTTTGTGATACAAATAAGTTTTTGTGATTCACAATGAGATTATACAATACTTGCAGTTTTCATGTTTTTTTAAATCATGTGCATATATAAATTGTACAATTATATATAACATAAAAGAGCCTTTTTCATACAAAAATTGATAATTACAATTTTTTGTCCGTTTTTTAACTGGGGAAAAAACATTTTACAAAACCACAGTTTTTTTACAGAAATATTATTCTATAAAAATTACATCAAGCAACTGACAAGGAAGAACATGTTTAAATACATTTTTGTAAAGTTCTAAGCATTAGAACTGTTTCCTTAGTTAAAAAATATGTTAGTACTTATAATCAGCTGATTTATTCATTCTTCAGTACTTTTTCTTTAAATAACAGTTTTAGACACATAATTTTGCTTATTTTGAATGCAAGCATTTTTCAAAAAGATGCAACTGTTATTCAAAAATACTTCAGCAAGTGACAAGTATAAAAAAGCTTTAGCAAAATGTGCACATAATCTTGTCTCAGATCAAAATTCATTTATAAAAATAAGCAACTCTCAAGGTTTAAACAATTTAGTTGCAATAAATACACAACAGTGTCATCAATAAATAAAAAACATGTGGAAGGAAAATGCTGTCGTGTAGTTTCATATTTACAATTCGAGACCTGAGAATATCAAAAAAATTGAATGCAGCTCATCTAGTGGTCCTAGTACTAACTAGAAAGAACATTAATGTACAAAACATAATTTTCCTGCCTTTTCCATTCAAAAAAGCCATTCACTCAGATATCTTCATAATCAAAGAATGAAACAAATACTTGACAGATTTTAAAATACTTACTTAATAAAATTTTCAAAATACTTGACTGATTTTAGAGCTAATTTCTCAGTTACATTTTTGAATTTCCTTTAGTTTTCTATTTCTATTCTGATGCAAATGCAATTATCACCTTAGCCTCAAGAAACTGCTGTATTTTAAAAATAACCAAGTTAAACTCTCAGTAAAGAAATACACAGGGGGTGATACTGTAAATGCTTCTTTCATTTTTTAAAAAGCTATTACTATTTAGCCAAATTTTAACAAAATAAAACTCTCTAAATTACAAAATACATCCAAGCAAAATATTATTTTTGGTCTCCTTTTCAACAGGCCACTGTTCTTAATACCGAGTTCTCATTTCTCTTCTTTAAAAATGCCTTACTTCATATTACCAAAATGATGAATTGAGAGAAGAGGGGTTAGCACAAACTATATCACGATGTTATTGATGAAAAATGTGAATTTTTAAAGCACATCAGTATAATTACCAATATTGGTTACCGAATGTGACTCATCAGAGAACTTATATTCATAAAGTTTGAAAGAAAAAGAGTTACACCAGTTGCAAATGTAATATATAGAAGTTAATCAATATACAAGCTACCATGGCAGTTTTTGAATTCCTAAATCATGGAAAAAGTTCAAAATATTTAATACACTTCTAAGGTGATTTTAAATTGTAAGAAATAAACTATTGCATTATTTACTATGCTTAAAAAATGCATTTTACTAAATATATTATTTTTCAAAAGCTGGCTCAGGCAAAGCTTTGCTACAAAAGCAAATCAATCTTTGCCTACAATGAATAGTTTGATTAATACTAAAGTAAATGACACATCTTGAAAATAAGAAAGTATGAAATTATCTATCTACATGCAAGTCTTAGACACTTAGGATAACTTAATAACTGAAAACTTCTTCACACAAAAATAAAAAAATAAAATTGCTATTTCCAACATATAAGTGAAACTTTCCTTCCACAAGATGAGGCATTCAATATATATATACAAAGAGCAAATATCCAAAGATAAATTCTATCCTTAGTGTTAAGATGATGGCGGATTTAAGTCAACACTCATTTTTATTGCGCTAGATGAAAATACGTGTACAGTGGGATAAAAGCCACCAACGGGAATATGAGATAATACTTTTCCAACAACTTGCATATTGTAAGTAAAGTACACCTGAAAAAAGGAAAAGGAAAATTTTTACAATCAAATCATATTTATGAACTTAATGCAGTTTATCTAACACAAAGAAATTGTATGCACTTTTTAAAATTTTTTCAAGGTTTATCTGCAGTAATGAAATCAACCTTGAAAACAGCACACATCATTAGATCACAAATAAAAGACACTAAATTTTAATTTATATTATCAGAAATGAAAGTAAATATTCATTCATTGATTACAAGGAGATCTGTGTTCTTATCAAAAAGTGTTTTCCCCCCTCCCATAATACAAAGCAATGTTGAAATAATTCACGGTATTAATAATGGCATTTAAGATTACTATCTAATACAAGATATCTTCCCTAAGACATCCACTCTCAATCAAATATTCTAATAATACTTTTCAAATTTTTTAATATCAGATCCTCTATTGCCTCAAAGTACTTCAGACAGATGCAAATACTTCTTTAACTCCAAAATTTAAAACAAAACCACATTGCTTTAAAAATCTTTGTTTTTAATCCCATCAGCACCAATCCTAGAGCAATTTCCCCCTTTTTACAGAAATATAATATGTTTGATAATCATTTTGCCATCCTCATGCTGTGCACCATAATATTATTTACATTAATTAAAAATGAAAAACATTTGTACTTTAATGAGTTTTTTGTGCAATTACTTGCTTATGATTCTGAAGTAATAAAACTTTATGTGAATATTAATAAAGTATTTTGACTTTGAAAACTCGTAAATTAACTTGTCACAAAATTCCTTTGGCATACCAAATGCAATAAAATAATATATTAAAGACATTAGTAAATCACAGAACAGTACCATTGAATGGCATTTAAAGAGGGAGAGAATAAATCTTGATTTATATCATTTACTAACCAACACCTCAATAAAAATTGAATATGAGTCATAATGTCAAAAATGAGAGATTTTGAAATTAAATATCTTCGTCAATTTGCTGACTTGGTTTTTACTTTTTATAATGAGTACGAAATATTTCTAAATATAAGCTTAGGGATTAGAAGAAAGTATAAGAAGTTAAATTTCACAATACTTACAAAACTTATTTCTTTAAAAATTCTGAAATATGAATGTGCAGCACTTAAAACCATTTTGTAACTGAAAGTAAATGTTTATGACCAACTTTATCTAAAATAAAGCCCAGGCTATAATACAGGTTAAGTATTTCATGGACTTGGCGTATATTAAAAGTGTCAATAACGTCTAATTTCCCTCAAAATTTTGACAGTGGCGGGAAAATAAAGAGCAAGAATGAGTACTCATATGTGTATATATATATATATATATCACATAGCTAAAATTTAAAATTGTAGTTTTCATATTATTTGAAAAGTTGCTTTTCTTCCTCACATAATTCCTATTTTAATAACACTAACAACTGGCAAGGAAAATAATACTTTCTAATGCCTGTTGGGATTTAAAGAAAAAAAAAAAAAAATACTTTTAAATGTATCTGAAACTTGTACAATTTCACATTTAAATTATACTCTGCTATGGCTTCTTTCATGCAAATTTCAGTTTGGTCAGTCCCCCTTTGTTTTAAGCAAACATTTGTTTGGTCATATTATTTCTAATTAAAAAAATAGTTTTAATGCACAGAAACAGCAAAATCATATATGATAAGGAGTTAGCAATCATAAATAATAACAAAATAAAATTTAGTTCTATAATCTAGTTTATAAAAAAAAATAATTACAAAATTTTATAAAACTTTGTTAACATTTGGACAGAAATTTCAAACACTTCCTTTAAAATACCGGTTTTAATGAACTGTTTTGAACTAACTACTAAAAGTGCACTATCTGATAAATATGATTAGTGATACATACAAAATAATTAATAAATAATTATAAGGTTTCAAAAATAGTTGCAAGTTTTAAAACTAATCAAAATAATATTTTATAACTATTAGCTTTCCACATACATAAGATGAGAAAATATACTCATGAATAAGCTACATAAAATTTACATTACAGTTTAGTAATGCATTCAAACTAATGCTACATATACTTTTCATATAAGCTAAAAGTTTTTTAAGTGCGAAAATCCAAGACAAATGACATTACAAGAATAATTTGAAATGGTAATGATAAATAATTGTATTTGAAAATTACTTTTGTAAAAATACTGAACTGCAATAAGGAAAACTAATTCTCTGACAAAATTAATAAATTTTTATGTGTTTCTTCTCTGACAAACATTAGAACAGTAAATAAGCTATTTTATCAAAAAGAATTTCAGAACTGCTGAAAAATTTTCTTAGATATGTAATCGCATGCCTAGCAGAAAAGACAACTTTCAGCATTAGAAGATGATTTTATACTGAAATAATATCTCCTCCCTTTCCCCCAAAAAATAACAAGAAGAAAAAAAGAAAAAACAACAACAGCAACAAAATACAACCTTGATCTTTTTATGCATATTTCAAAACAAGCCTTTCCCGGAAAACAAGCAATAAAGATAGCTCTAGAAAAAATATTATTTTCAGAAACTTTTTCTCATTTTGCAGTATTACTTTTATTTTGCACTTATAAAAACATTTTATAAAGCTTAAAAAAATTAATATCAGCCATAAAACTAAACACATAGGAACAAAACTCTTTCTTACTTCCACTTGTGTTCTGCTTTCAACAAAATTTTCATTATAATAATCACAATCACTAGCATCCTCTTTGCTAGTTTCAATTTCAAAACTGTTCGAACTTTCATAGTCTGAAGACTCTCTTTCTTCAACATTCAAATTTAACATATTGCAAACAAAATCCATAGACTTTTTGTTGACATTCAAAAGTGAAGTGAGCACAACATCAGTCATTCCATCACTATTATCATCAGTAGATAAATCAACATAGCGCTTGTAATGGGGAGGATATATGATGCCACAACCAATGACATCGCCTATAAACAGAAAAATAAAAATATTTATATAGCTGCACATCATTTATAACATTTAGAATTATTTTTACATCTAGGATAAAAACCACATAATACTCAAAAACTAAATAATTAAAACAAAACAAATAAGACAAAACTATACTTTTATAATGCAAGGATAAATACATTAAAAATTGCATAGTTTTCATACTCCAAAATTCAAACTTGCTTTGAGATTTTTATCTGAAGAATAATTTCGATAGTAAAAAAATCTCTTTTTTTTTTTTTTTTTTTTTTTTTTTCATTTATAAGACAAAGACTTTTAAACTGTTTTTACTTCCTTGTACGAAGTAAAAAGGAAGTGTTGTAATCGCAAAAAGTTTCAGGCATCGTATTTCAACGAAAATATCCATTTTGACTGCTATTGAATGCAATTTAATGATGTTTTTGTGTGACATCTGTAAGTAAGGACAGAATAAAAGACTCTCCCCCCCCAAAAAAAAAAATATAAAACTGATTTAAAATTCAGAAGAGAATTTTTCGTGGTGTCTGTACATATGTATCTCGCGTAACTCAAAAATGAGTAACCTCAGAACGTTAAAATTTTGTATACAGGACTGCTATAACATGTAGATGTGCACCTCGTATTTTGGTTGCAATCGGCCACATCAAAAGTACATAAATATATATATATATATATCTGTTACCCGGCTCAGTGATCTCAATTTATTTACTCTTATATGTTTGTAAATTGTTCATTTGTTGCTTTAAAAATGACTAAATTTTGTTGTTCTTATCTTCAGTTAAACTCTTTATGTCTTTAGTAAATCTGCATGCGATATTTATAGAGTTATCAACAATTTAAAAGTTGTTTACGTGCGGCTAAGCTTAATTAATTCTGTCATTGCTGACATGTTTGTTTACATTTTAAACTTGGCAGAATAGTGGCTTTGTTGCCAATCTAGAGAAACTATGCTTTGCAACTACAAAGATAACGCCTTCTTTTATTATTGCGAATTATATCATGCTTAATCCATTCAGGAATTTATTCGAGAAAATAAGTGTTTAAGATTTATTTCGTAAATTTTAATATAGATAGTCTGAGTTTTTATGTATTTTTGCCTTGTCGAAAAAATGAGAACTGAATTAATTGAATGAGAAATACTGAATCGTCTGTGAAAAACTTTTTGTTTGCTTAATTTCTTTTATACATTGTTTTAGATTTGTTATTATAGTATTTGAATATAACATGTGGTAATGATTAGATAATTCTTCAAATTATATAAATTTTGTGCATTCCAAGTTACAATATAAACGAAATGTAATGCTGTTATGTGAACTTAGCGCCAGAGTGTCGCTATGGTAAACAAATATAGTGAATTTTTAACATTACATTTATTCTATTGTGGTTTAATGTGCTATCAATGAAGTAGATTTAATTAATTCTAATAAAGTTTAAATGAAATGCAAGAAAAAATGCATATAATTTAATATTCTGTACAAGGGAAGTCATGTGATGTACACATCTGCTTATCTTCATTTATTAAAATGCCTAATTACAAGAAATGCCTTCCCCCCATTTTTTAGTAATGTTTTTTTATCTAAAATTTAGTAGGGTCTAGTAAATGGGCATTCTAATAAATACAATTTCAGAGGAAAAGTTACATCTTTTAAATATTAAATAAACATGCAGGCAATTACCATGTACACTGAAGTGACAAAAGTTATGGGATAGCAATATGCAAATATACAGATGGCAGTAGTATCTCGTAGAAAATGTATATATGCGAAGTGCTTTGGCAGGGCTTTCATTTGTGTTCAAGTTATTCATGTGAAGAGGCTTTGACATGTTTATGGCCGCACGACGAGAATTAACAGACTTTGAATGCGGAATGGTAGTTGGAGCTAGACGCATGGGTCATTCCATTTCGGATATCGTTAGGGAATTCAACATTCCGAGATCCACAGTGTCAAGAGTGTGCCGAGAGTATCTAATTTCAGGCATAACACCCCACCATGGACAGTGCAGTGGCCGACCACCTGCACTTAACGACCGAGACCAGCGACGTCTGCATAGAGTTGTCAGTGTTCAGTTTAAACAACACTGCGTCAAATAACCGCAGAAATCAATGTGGGACGTGTCTGATAGGACAGTGCAGCCAAATTTGTCTTCCTTGGGCTATGCCAGCAGAAGACCGACTCGGGTGCCTTTACTGACAGCACGACATCGCCTGCAGCAACTCTCGTGGGCATATCGGTTGGTCCCTAAACGAATGGAAAACCGTGGCTTGGTCAGATGAGGCACGATTTCAGTTGGTAAGAGCTGATGGTAGGGTTCGAGTGTGGCGCAGACCCCACGAAGCCATGGACCCAAGTTGTCAACAAGGCACTGTTCAAGCTGGTGGTGGTTCCATAATGGTCTGGGCTGTTTTTACATGGCATGAACTCAGTCCTCTGGTGCAACTGAACCGATCATTGACTGGAAATGGATACCTTCAGCTACTTGGAGATCACTTACAGCCATTCATGGACTTCACGTACTCAAACAATGATGGGATTTTTATGGATGACAATGCGCCATGTCACTGGGCCACAATCGTTCACGATTGGTTAGAAGAACATTCTGGACAATTCCAGCGAATGATCTGGCCACCTAGATCGCCCGACATGAATCCCATCGAACATTCATGAGACATCATCGAGAGGTCAGTTCGTGCCCAACACTGCACTGTCAACACTTTCACAATTATGGACGTCTATAGAGGCAGCATGGCTCAATATTCCTGCAGGGGACTTCCAACGACTTGTTGAGTCCATGCCAGGTCGAGTTGCTGCACTTCGCCAGGCAAAAGGAGGACCGACAAAATATTAGGAGGTATCCCATGACTTTTGTCACTTAAGTGTATATAAATTACATAACTATTGATATTGATTACAACAGTTACATTTAGTTCAGTAATTTCAATTTAAGCCTGCATCCACTCTACTGGCTATGACAGAACTGAAAACAAATAGGTAAAAATGTACAATTAATTTTTCCATCTACACTATAGTAAAATACAGTCAAAAGTCGTTAATTCGGACACCCATAATACGGACCTCAAAGCTAAAAACTTTCTGCACATGCGCATAGGCGTTTACCAGTGCGCGTAATATCTTTACCACTGCGCATATGCGTGTGCGCAAGCGCAGAATACGTTTTCGCGTGCGCGTTTTATGTATAACGGACGGTATTAGCTAAAATTATCTATTTCAGTTAATGTTGATGATTGCGTTCCTTAATCTTCGAATTGGATCCAGCTTATTATTTTAGCAGATTGTAAGAGCAATTTTATAAAAGTAAACTTGAATTTTCGATTATGTCAAATAGAATTTCCGATGCTGGAGCTCCCAAAGGATCTACAAAACGAAAGTATGTTTAAATGTCCATCAAACAAAAAGTGGATTGCTGAAAAAAATGGATAAAGACATGAAGAAGGTGACAGAGAGGTTAGTGAAAACGAAAAAATTTCGATTGACAAGTTAGTCGGTATTTTCGGCACAGCAATTACGGGACTTGAACAGCGGAACTTTGTAACTGAACAAGAAATTATTTCTGTTTATAGAATTAAAGAGAAAGTATTATCACATAAAACGAAGCAACTTAAACAACTTACATTGAAAGAAATGTTTAATAAAGTAAACAAATAAATATTAAGCTTTTTTTTTTTTTTTTGTAAATTTTGATACCCTTTAGATCATAATTGTTCTTTATTTCATAAATTATGGTTTCATATTTTTAATTTTAGTATTTCTGCATGCCATCTTACGAGATTTAAACTGATGATCTATAATCCGGAAAAATCGATAATCCGGAATCGCCGAAGTCCCGACGAGTCCGGATTAACTACTTTTAACTGTACTGGATTTACTTAGCTTGCCTTAAAATCTAATTAGAACAATGATCTTGATGAATATTTGTCAACCTCTTTTTCTCTTTTCATGTGACATGACACTCTGCCTATCATCAGAGAGGGTTCAGCTGTTATTCGTGTCACATGATGGTGAATAATCAGTGTTGTCAATGTCTGCTGATCTCTGTACACCTGTTAGCTAATGTAGACTCCAATCAACGATCACAAGCTATAAGGTCCAAAGACCTTGATGTCAATTCGTGATGATACCCAGATACAATCATTAGTGACAGAGATTCCCATACAAATAGATCTAGGTTTAAATCCCAGCGAAAACAAGGATATTTGCAAGTGTGTAGTGTCTGCGCAGCAAGGGGCACTCAAAATACACAGCAAGCTGAAAGACTTCTTGAGAGGTTTGTGGCAGGTAAAAAGGGATGAGAGACCTCAGATCATCTCCCTTAAAAGTGGAAAGGCAACTTAACAGTTAGTATAGCCCAACAAATACCTATGGGAGATGATACTTGTTATCTGTCTCTTCATGATGAAAAGACTGAATGAAGACACATTTATTGCTAAGTTTTGATCACAGCATGTACTAGACAGTATCTGTAAATATGCAGGTACTCATTCCTGCATCAATGTTGTACAACTATTTTGGCAATAAAATATAACTGTTCTGGAAACAAAATTTTCTTTTATTAAAAAAAAAAACTCATGCCTTTCCGGGCATATTTGTGAAAGCCACATTTTACTACTTCTTATACTTTCTGATTAATTAAATTATATTTTTTCTGTTACTTTTGAATCACCCCAATCTATGTACACTATTAATCTTAAAAGATGTAGAATTTTTGAAGAACATATATTTTGAAACATAATTTTAAAAATTACCTTTAGAGAAAACAGGTCCATCTAAATGTACAGCATCACGATAAAACACGCTGCCTGTATCTAAAGAGAAAATGAATTAAAAGTCTTAAAATACATATTTTAAAGCATTATAAACTTGAAATTTTAACAAATTTATAAACACAATTAGTACAATTTAAACCTAACTTAATATTAACACAGAAGCATTTAAAAATCAGTACCTGAAAAATAGCCTATTGAACCAGCTGTTTTCCCAGGAGCAACTTTACTTGGGTAATCCTGAAAAATATCCATATTATATAATATGGTATACTCTTTCAGGTAATACTGGTTTTGTTACGGCTGTTTAAAAATTTCTATTCATAGTTCCATACAACCTTTTTTTAAATACTGATATAATCACATTATATTTAAATTTTATCATTCCATGTTCCCAGAATACTTAAACAGTATCTGGGAATATGAAATGATGGTATTCAAGAAAAATCTATATATCTTATAAAAGAGGAAATTTTAAATGTTAATAAAAAGCATTTTAGTATCTTGTCATATTAGATACATCATATAAACGATTCATTACTACTCTTAAAAAGTTAATATTCACTTTTAGGCAATATTTTGTATAAGGTTTTCACTTTTGTGCATAACACTTCTAGTTCAGAACATAATGCATTTAAAAAAAAAATGAAAACAGGAATTGAAACTTTTGCAAAATGAAGTAAACAATGCACAAATAAGCTAATCACATCAAAATATTACATCAATGAACAAAAATTCTACATGAAACAGAATATATTACATGACGCTTTTCTTGAAAGTGCTTGTGCTGATGAAATAAATTTTTTTGGTAAATGGATATTAAAATCCCATGAATATAAACACCTTGCATATTTTGCAGAATACAATACCAATATTTTTTTCAACATTTCAGGGACATCAGTGTTTCCAGTGTAACATCTATGGAATGAAGTATGTGTTAAATGTTCAACCATGTATATTTCTGTTTAGAATTTGCTTCAAGTTACTAATTACAACTTCAGTTTATACTTAGACATAGCTTTCAGAAAGACAAATACATATTTGTAAACACTGGAATTTTTATCAAATAATCCATAGAAAAATGACATCTTAATGTTTTAAATGTATCATTCCTCTAACCTGAATTCAGTGCAGCATGCGTTAAATGAAATTAACCGTTTATGTAGGCAAACTATGCTGCAAAGCTTTCTACAAAAGCAATCTAACACAATCTAGTCTTGATGAGAATATATTCTTCGCAAGTTTTTTAAACATAGTTTCGAAATTGCCCATCTAAATACAGACATGTTAAATACAAATAACTATCTATACATGTGTACCTAATTAAAAAAAAGTGGGACAGTATGCATAAAAATCTAACTATATTAGCTATGCTTTAACAAAATAAAAACATTTACATTTTATGTATCATTTTTAATGCTTACCTTTCTACAAACTCCTACTGTAATACTGCTTTCATCATCACAATCTAACAAATGAACAGAAAAATAGGAATATAAATAATTCAATGGCTTCTTTGCTTGGGCAAATCTCAGCTTCTTAACACTAGTTCGAGCTGGGTAAGTAGCACTTTGAAGTTCCTGAAAATAAGTTTCTATAAATTTTCAATCAAAGCAAAAATATGCTTTATTAAAAAATGATGGGTTGAAGAAATTTACCTTTATTCTAATCTAAGTACGACAAAAATAATTTGCTAGCTATTAAAGCATACTCACTGAAATTCTAATAAAAAATAAAATAATTAACCGCTAGAGCACATTTTACCGTAATAAATAAAAAGAGATCAAATGAAGGAATAAAACTGCCATAACACATAAAATACATATGCAGAATTTACCTGCAAAAAAAAAAAAAAAAAAAAAAAAAAAAAAAAAAACCTTAAATCTCTTTTGAATTATAAATTTTCAACAATGAATCAAGCAAATTATTTAAGTTTTCTTTGCTTCCAATTTATAAGCATTTTCCAAAATAACCATTTATTTACTGGAACATTCTACTTTATTTTTTTAAATTATAAAATATGTTTATGAGAATAAATCATTAATGTTTCAGAAAATAACAGAAAACTTAATATTTACAAATAAAACATTTAAAAAGCTGAGAATTATTTCCTGGAATAAATCTATGTATGAAGCCTTAAAAAAAAGTGTGGCTTGTGACAATTTTTTATATACGAGATAAAGTTTAGGTACAAATGTTAGGTACTGAGAAGGTAATACATTTATTTTCTATTTATAGCTTAAATTTCTAAGATATTCTCAGAACACATAAAAGAATACCTCTTAAATATTGCTGGGAATAATCCTGGCATATGAAAACAGAATATTTCATGTATACTCCAGCATATGATTTGAACACTATGAAATCCTAGAATATTTTGGAGATATTTTCATGCTATGTGAGGCATTATCAGATCTAAATTTCAAAGACCCTATCTGAAATCAATGCATATGTGGAGGTATCTGAAATCAATGCATATGCCTATTAAGGACTGCCTTTAATGCATGCAAAAGAAAAAGCCACATGTGCATCTATTAGAATATTCAATTTACAGAGACATTTTAGGAAAACAAGAGTTTGCATTAAAATTCCTGTCTGGGAAGAATTATCAAACTGATCAATAAATACCAATGTCTTGAGAAGTACTAAACCACCCCTGTGTACAAGAAAATCAACAATCTCATAGAAGGATGGAGAAAAATGATTCACATGGAGAAAATTTCTTTCAACAAGGACAAAATTTGGAAAGAAAACAGTTTTTCTACTTAAAAATCAAGAATGAATTATCTCTTTTGTTTGCTATTCTATATCACATATTTTCTTTTAAGAAAGAAAAACCAGGACAAACCGAAATTCTGAAAATATTATTTTGGAATAGTAAATGCTTTCATTAAAAACGGGACCTCTGAGAACAATACTCTGTCTGGTATGTCTGGTATCATACTCATTTTAAGCCTTTCATATCAATGGCATATGGGAAATTTTGATATTCAGTACGTAAACAGAAAAGATGCAGATAAAGTTATCCAGCAGGTAGCTCCACCCATAAAAATCCTCTATTCTGAAACACCTACACGTTAAAAATTTCAGAATGTTTTCGCTATCGGAACCGGACTTGCCACAAATGTTAAGCTAAACTCACCATGTGCTTCATATGAAGGCACCATTTTGCACAATCTGCAAAGTTAATTTCACTGAATTGCCATTTTGCTTTACCAAAGTTATGCTCTGTAAAGTTAATTTCACTGAATATTTGGGACTTACCAAATAATAAAACATTTTTAACATAATTTCTGCAAGAATGAGGAATTATGCTCTTTGAATTTTTCCGCACTGACTCCTACTGAAATTCGACTGAAATTGAAAATTTCCGACTGAATTTAGACTGAATTGACTACTGAAATTTCCGACTGAAATTATGTTTTATATTTTTCACTGAATTGTCATCATTTGGCAGTATTTGAACCTAAGCCTGAAAACAGAAAAGTACCAAAATTTCCTCCTATATCAATATCAATAAATGCTAAAGTGCTCCCTTATTTATGCCATTTTGGATTATGAAAGTTGTCACAGTATTGCTTTAATATCATAAAATAATGAAGAGCAGTATTAGCATTTAGAATTAAAATAATTGCTTTTATATACTACAAGAAATTATTTAAAAACTCTAAATGCTATTATATATTATATATGCACATATCGATACTTATGTAAGTCTATATTAATGCGGCATATTACATGAAAATTGTTGGAATAATTACATTTTTTATTTAAAAAAAATGTTTTGTATTTATATATATATCATAGCTCCCAATTCCAAAACATGAAAACCTGGGAGGTTCTCATGCCCAAAACCTAGAGTTTCCGGATGATTCTCCAGCTACACAGGGATACCATTTCAAATGAACTCCAAACTGACTTATATTCCCTTTATAATGCATGATCAAGTTACTCAAATACTTACAATATGATTCTGAACTAAAGTGCATTAATATTTAATTCCATATTTTTATATTCTTTAACTAATTTTCTTTTATAATTTTCATCCTGAGTAGGGAAAGAGGGAAAGCTTTAATTTTCCAAAGTTCTATAAACACGTTTAAAATAAGATTAATAATTAATGTACGAATTGCTGGATGGATTGAATGGATTATTCAATTATGGCAAAGCACATGAGGGCTATCTGCCTAAAGGGGAATGCCTTCATGGAGGACTTTCTAAGGGAAACTGGCTCGTATATACGTTACACATGGGGAAAACCCCAAAAATGCCCAAGCAGCCAGCCTGTTTGCGGGATTCGAACCTTGGACCGAACTACCAGTGTTCAGCGTCTTCTCCATTCGGCCGCTGGTGGGGCCAGATTGCGGGCTGAATAAACTTAGTAACGTACCATACACTAATGTAAAACCAAATTTCACATGAGAATTTATTTTGGAATGGAAGTACTTTATTCTATTCTTGAATTCAAAATAAAAGAATAAAGATCCTCTTCATTTAATTTTAATCTATAACTCAATGAATATGAAATAGTTAGACAATCACATTTCAAAAGATTCTTTACAATACACATCAAATGGGACTGAGTAAATATCAGTTTAGATCTCATCATCAGCAAGTGACAAATGCAAGAAATATAAAACTAAATTACTTTCTATGTACAAAAACTACTCAAAATTTTATAAGAACTTTTTTAAAATGTAATTTATTAACTACATGCAGTAATTTTACTTTTAAATGGCAAATAAATATAAGGGAAATAATAATTTCAAACTTGTACCATTTAATGTCAATAGTTCCACTCTACTGCAAATACAAGTAAAAAATACTTCCCCTTATAAAAGAGCACGATGTCTTTTTGGGGAAGTGAAGAATTGCCCACTGCTTGGCGCGTTTTTAAAAATTGCACATACTCAGTATCCATGTACACATAGACCTATTTTCACTTAAAAAAAAATACCAAAATTGCACAAAAATAGCATTGTGTCCCTCAACTTTATACATGTACACATTGACCTATTTTCACTTAAAAAGTCAAAGAAAATGACAAAAATCCAATTCTTCTTGCTCTTGCATGAAACGCTAAACAAACGCCAATCAAATAAGTGGGCGATTCTGCACTTTAGCCCTTTTTTTTTTGTTTGTTTGTTTTTCTCCCCTATTTAAACACTGTGCTATTACTTCCTTTTTAAATATTGCACAAGGAAATATTTTATTTCCTTTTTATGTAAGGAAAAATGAACACTTTATTTTGCTTTTAAATATCACGAGAGAAGGCAAACAAACAACTATATATTGTATCAATTATACCAAAGTAATGCTTTTACTTAGAAAGTAAGGTCAGCTTATAAATTGTAACAATGCTGTAAGTAGCTGTGGTCTTAAAAAGTTCTCTTCTAGAAGATTTTGTACAAGAAATTAGATTAAATTCATATTACAAAATTTCTGTAACATCTTACTCATCTAGAGTATCTCACCACTCATTTTAATCCTGGACAAAGCTGCCAATATTCTGTAATTTTATAATACACACAACAAATGGCAAGCTTCATTTAAGATTTTTAAAAAATGTAGTACCTGGGATACGTTGCAAATGCTCAAATGCTGACTAAGGCAGGGGCATACTGGGCAATTGTCCCGGGCTTCCAAATCGAATAGAAAATTTACTATTATAAAAATTTAAATCTCAAAAAAATTCTCTTCTCATTACTGAAGTAGTAAAGCAGAAGGGGCCCCAAAAACTTTTTTGCCCTGGGCCCCATTTAGGCTAAGTCGGTCCCTGCAAATGCTACACAATTATAAAAAGTATAAAACACAGCAACCAGCTTTTAAAATAGCAAAATTTTTTCATAGATTAATTTGCTCCTGGTGAGAGAAACCGTTCCTTCTTGAAATGCACTCAGCATTTTAAATGAAATCAATGACAAACACAAGCAGGATTTTACATATCAGTGTAAATTTTATGTTTGCACTTAAAATATTTTAAAATATTGTTAAAAATTGAAAAAATTATTTTGACATTTATAGCTTAAGATGAAATAAAAAAATTTACCAAAATGCAATGAGATACTGGAAAAGTAATTCTGTAAACACTGCGATAATGTTCGCAGATGCAATTGCAGATTTGATTATGTTTCTACTGAGGTAACTTAAGTCAACAATGCATAAAAGCAAAGCTCTAAGTCACTGCACTGAATTCAAAAATATACCATTCTGGGTATTTAAAACCATTTGATTATTTATTTCAAAATACTGAAACTACACTCTCTCTAACTTAAACTGTTCATAAAAGAATATTTGCAAGCAATTTTAAAAAGCTTTAGTAACTTCAAATAAACAAAAATATAATATATATTTTTCCACAGAACAAAACTTATGAAAGATTAATCAGTTTTGCTCTCTCTATACATCTCTCTCTTAAAAAAAAAAAAAAAAAAAAAAAGGGTGGGCATTGTATATTCATAAATTAAAAAAATATTTACTGCACTGAAGTACAAGAAGTGACATACCTGGCCTGACGTGTGAAGACCAATAATTCGACGCCAAGGATTTCTTTTACTATAATTAATAGGTAAAAAGTAGTATATACTTTCGTTTGAAGGCACTTGTTCACATGCAGAAGCACTTTCTTCAGTTTTTACATCATCAAATTTCTCACAGTTGTCCAATTCATTATCAGTACACTTCTCATCAAATGAATCTCCCATGGCGTCAGACACATGAAGAATTGGAGAAATTCGATCATTACTAGATCGTGGATTAACAGAAGCTAAAATCAGATTGTCCTCATCCATCTGTGGAGGCACATTGTTAAAGTCTAAAAGATCTTTATGCATCTCTCGCACTAACATACGAGCTAGAAGTGGTCCAGCTGGCATCAGAGGTCTCAAATCTTCATTATTTCCTACAGATAATAAGAATTCTTGTAATAAAGAACTACATTTCTGAAAGAAGAATAAAAATACAGAATGCAGCTTAAAAATATGTTTTCATTACCAATTCTGTTAAAATAAAACCACCTCTGACTAAATACCTAAAATTGTGGAGTAGTAAATGACTTAATGCAGTGGTCTTGAACAGGTGAATCGCAAAGCAATTTTATGTGGTCTGCAAATGTTGCAAATATTTCAATATTTTAGTCACTTGAAGTCAGAGTTTATATTATTTGCATTACCATTAAAATGAACATGAATGACATGAACATTACAACAGAAAATCTATAAATGGACCTAAGTAATTTACACTGTGATAAAAACCTTCTTCAAAGATTTGAAGACCCAGATTTTATTAACTTTTATTCGTACTGTCAAAAAATAAATATGCTCAGTTGTGAATATTTGCACTAAAAATAACTGCTTTGTCTGGGAACACATATAAATTTATATGTAAACAGCATTTTTTACAGTTGAAAATTAATAAAAAAAAAAGAATCCAGTTGATCTATCAGCATCCACAATACATAAAGATAATTTATAGCAATTTTTTTCCAATGATAAACTTTATCATAATTGAAATGCCATCAAGAGTCAAGCTGTAGTAAAAAATAAATTTTACAATTATTTGCATGAATGTTTCGCACTATGTGTTGCCATATAGTATGCACTAATCACAAATTTAATTAATTTAAGAAAGAGACCAGGCTGTCATTATTTATTCTCAAGTTTTATCCCACTTGAAAGGTTTTGATAATTTGTTTGGTTTAAAGTTATTTAAAGATTAATAAAACATGTTTAATTAATCATTAAATAACTTACTTGAAAATTTTCACATTCTGAAATTTAACATTTAGCTGAAAAATGTCTTGCAAGTACCAAACTTACAGATATAAAATAAAATTGAATTTTTTTCCTTTGCATTATTGTTACCATGTTTATTTATGTTTTGATAAAAGTTTAGTCAGCAAAATTAAAAATTTATTTGAAATATTTTTATTTTGTAAAAAAAAAAAAAAAAAAAAAAAAAAAAAATCTGACCCATCTGCTATTTTTCTATCAGGCAAATTGAATTTGATATTACTTATTTAATGGATTTATTAGATACACTGATTTTGTCTTTCTGATGCTCTGAAAATCCAGGTCAGAATTAAAGACTTATCATAAAACGTTACAATCATGTTTATTTCAAACAAATGTTTGCAACAAAACTGCTAAAAAAGTCAACATGATTGACAATGGCTTATGAATCCAAGATCAAATTTTGACAATTTTAAATTTCAAACTGACATGCTTCTCTTCTATATACAAATGTCTGAAATTTATTCTTCTTTATTAAAAGCAATCTTCAATTCTCAGTGGCATTTCTTTTATTGTTTTCAATAATATTTAATGAATTTTTTTAGAAAAGTTTCAGATTTCTTGTGCTAAACATACATTTGTTAGTACTACTAGTTTACTGTAAACTAATTTGTTAGTACTACTACATATATTTGTTAGTACTAAGTCACCCTTTATAGGAATTATCCTGCTGTTATCAATATATAAATTGACAGATTCATAAGGAACATACTTATTGAGTATCTGCATGTATATTTACACTGAAATTGAACCAAATAAATTAAAAAGCCTGATTTAAACGTTTGTAACTATTCCCTGTTTACAATGTAAAACAATTACAGCACAAAATAAAATACAATAGCAAATACAGATAACGGTAAAAAAATAACTTTGCTAATAAAAACGCATGCACTAATTTTCATTACGCGATTCATTAAAAATAGTTATACGTCAAATCATATCAAAGTTATACGTTGTCAATTCGCAATTAAAAGTGAAATCAACTAAATAACTTCCAAAACTTTGTTTTGCGAAATTGAGTACATTATAACAGAAAATTAATAAGGCGAATTATCTGAAGAAACATTTATCATCTTAGTTAAAATGACATTGCTAACTTTATAATTTCTTCAAAAAGAATAAAATGAAAGAATAATAAAAAGTTAGAAATTCTCTCCAAAAAGCTTTTCTAATTTTAGAAAGTCTTTAAAAGTTATGATATAATATTTATGAATTATCTTTTATAGCAGTTTATATGTTTGAGGAAACCTCATTTCTACAAAGTCGGCTAATGAATGTCAAAACTTAGTTAATTTCTCAATCCACAAGTAAACAAATTTACCTAAGCCTAAGCCGCAATTTAGAAAATCTGCCATTGCACCTGGTTTGTTTATGCCTGGCATTTCATCGACTTTGACACACAATCCGCGTATACTTCTCGCAATTTCGAATATGATAACAGAAAACGTAAGCGTTAATCACACATTTCTTGTTTCCCATTGCACCATCTTGGAGGTCAGCTGTAGTTGAAGTTTTGGTGAATAACAGCGGGAGTTTTAGTTCGTGGACAATGCCCTTTGTTTTTAAGTATATGTAAACATGCTTGTAAATTATTTGTTGTTATTAGACAGAATAGCTACTGAGAAATGGCAATGGATAGTTTTAGTTCTCGTTCTACGTACGTTCTAAACTATCTAGATGTTACTGTAAAAGTCCGAAGACTGGTAAATCCTAGGTTTTACCGGTAAAACTTAGCTTAATGTGGCTTGGCAAAGGTCCGAAGTATGCTTTAATATGAATAAATTTAGGTCTTTTACCAAGCCTTTGGGGTGACACCTAGGAGTTACTATGCCTTCCGGTAAAAGCCCGAAAGAGGGATTTAAATGGACCTTGAATAAGCCTGCTCACGCAAATTCCGTCGCGACACTGTTCTGTTCCTGCATTTTCTTATTTGCGCCATTTGCAGTATAGTTTCGAGAGTGTAAGCGGCTACGTTCTAAAATAGAAGCAGTTTGACTCCATTTTAACATATTTTGCACTTTTTATTTTGCTGAAAGGAAATGAATAATGTTATGCGGAAAAACTTTTTAGGCATTTTGTCTGAATTTGTAAAAATAAGCACGATAACAGCTTTTATTTAACAAATGAGAAATACACTTCTTTAATAAATAAAGGGAAAGAAGCAAAAGGTGTGAAGGAAAAACAAACAGTTCATTACGGAAGGTTGAAACGCTATGATATTCTAAATATTGGAGAAGAGGACAAACTCATATCACCACTATCTGCAGTAAAAGCAGAAATCCCCTCTTATGTTAGAATTGGTGACGTCTTCAACGTCATGCACGACGTTTATATCAGTTAGCCATGGTGGAAGAACCCGTATGATTAACGAACTGAATCGCACGTACAAAAATGTAAGAGTAGATTCTGTATTCAGTTGTTTGAGACTATGTGAACCATGTCAGAGGAAGAAAAACTGTGAAAAAGGGTATTGTAATCAAACCAAAGTGCATAATAAAATTACTTCTCGATGCCAGAGGCGAGTTAAGCGGCTGGAAAACGTGGCAGCCGCCGTGGGCTCCTGAGCTTCAAAGGGGCCTTGTGAGTACACGGTCATCTGGAAATACAAACCTTTTCTAATTAAAGAACAAATATCAATTAAAATTTTTTTTACTACAATTAGCTTAATAAAATAGTGTATTCATTAGTACATTTTACATAAGAGTAACAAATCGCAAAAGATGTGACACTTTAAATTTTGTCACGTTCTCCCTTCTTGTTTTTTTCCGTTCTTAGAAATTATGTATTGAAACATCCCGAAAACGACTACACCTGTAGTTCCAAGCAGTTGTGTGCTCCCATAAAGGGGATCACCTTACAAAAAATGATTAACATTGATGTGCTTATTTGTTCGTTTCCCAAGAAGTGCTGTTTAGTTTCATATACTTTTCGGAAGTAAAGGCTGTAAAAAGTTTCTAAGCCTTTTGTTTGACCGACGATTTGTTACTGACAGCTGTGGTTGGGCCATACAGCTTCAAAAGACTTCCTCATTTTCTAACTAAATTTACCAGCACTATACACAAAAGTTGTCAATGGCTGTTATAAATAGAACCTCTGCCATACGGCTCTAACATTTTGAATAATTCGCTCTTTTCAGTATTCAGATTAACTTCTTCAGTTGATTTTTCAGTTTGCTTTGTTAATGTTTATACAGGAAAAAATTGTTCCTATGCCTCATTTGTTAAATTGGTATCCTCATTTATTAATGCCTCATTTATAATAATATTTGAATAATATAATGTTACTTATAATGTAATAATATAATGTCGTTTATGTTGTTTTTATAATAATGCTCGCGATTTAGATGGCATTTCAGTTTTATTACACTTTAAAAAATTACCATATTATGAGGATTAATTAGAATTTTTTTTGAATGAAAGTAAATGTTCTCAAATTTAAACATTATTTTAATTTAGCTTCATTTCATAATACTAGAAAATTCTTTCTGGTACTCATACTTTAATTTTGGATAAAATCCGATCTGAAATAAAACAGTGAAACTTTCAGAAAAGAAAGTAACTGCAGTGGAAGCCACATCTTTATTAAAAAAAATGTGCAGCTGTGAAACGACACTCATGATATTAATTCGAACCACGATTTTACAGAGAATCAATTCCACCAGCAAATCCCTACAATCAACTCAATGCAACCGATTTAAAGGAGCTGATTTGCTAAAATCTTTGGAAAATTTTATTGCAGGATTCCGTCATGAATTTTGTGACATAGAAAAAGAAACAACTTCTATAACATTTTTGACATTTGAAGAGCGGAATCGAAGGTCACAAAAAAGGAAACATTTTTTATTAGAGTATTGAAGAATCTAAACCACTTTCAGAGGGCGAAGATTTTATTTTTAATTTTTTTAATATTATTTTATATAATTATTTATATAATTATATAAAAATAATATTAAATTATATATTATTTTTATAATTATATAAATAATAATATTAAATATAATAAATAATAAATAAGAAAATATTAAATATATAAATAATAAATTAAAATATATAACTATATAATTATTAATATAATATTTATATATTTTTTTATATAATTATATTTTTTATATAAATATATTTTTAATTTTTTTAATATTATTTATATTTTTATAATATAATACCAGAACTTGCTCATAGAAGTAAGGTATTTAGAAATAATATAGAAAAATTTTAAAATATTCTTTAATTTAAGTTTGTGGAATTTAGAACTAAAAGTTTGTATAGAAAATTTAAAAGAGATTTGTAAGAATGATACAAGTGTTATAGGATTTTATGATGAAGTACGATAATTTTTTTGTTATTTTTAAGAGAAGATGAAGACAAATTTAGTTCTGTTACAGAAGTATTTCGTGCTCATCAACTTTTCCTACTGAAAAAGTTAGTTTGTAATTTTTTTTTTTTTTTGACAATTCTAGTTTCCAGTGTATCAGGATAAAGATCTTTCTCTGTTTTAAATGCAGTAAAAAGCTATTTAAGAAGTACAGTGTCAGAAGAAAGATTAAACAGTATGACTATATTATATATGGAGCAAGAACTGTTAAATTAATATCGATACCTCGAAAATAATTGATGAATTTGCTAGAATGAAATCAAGAAAATATTTACTAAACTTTCTGCTCAATAGTTATTTAGTTTAATAATCAATTATTTTAATTTAAAAATATTTCAGAAAATGTAGTGGCTGTTTTATGTTTTACTTTTCTTTTCCATAGAATATTTAACTTTTTGGTATAATTTTAAATAAAAGTCTTAAGAACATACAATGGAGGAGAATATACAAGCAAAGAGATTGAAGACTATCTAAAGGAAGAGGGAATCGAACATCAAACCTCCGTAACATATTCACCGCAACAGAACGGTAGAGCAGAAAGAAAAAATCGATACTTAATGGAAATGACAAGATGCCTGATACTCGGTTCAGGACTCAAAAGAGAATTTTGGGGTGAAGCCGTAATGACAGCCACCTATCTACAAAACAGGCTACCATCAAGATCAGTTGAAAAAACACCGTATGAACTATGGAATAATAAGAAGCCGAACCTAAGCCATATCATAGTTTTCGGCAGCACAGCTTATTGTCGAGTTCCAAAGCAGAAAAGAAGCAAACTAGACGAAAGAGCAGAAAAAAAGCAAACTAGACGAAAGAGCAGAAAAAGGAATTCTTGTTGGATATAGTGACCGTACTAAAGGATATAGAATTTACATGCCACATGAAAACAACGTCGTGATCAGAAGAAGCGTAATATTCGATGAAAACAAAAAAGAAGAAATGCCTTGTCAATTAAATGATCAGCATGAGGAAATAGAATGGCCTTTTAAAGGAAATAAATTGACAGAACCACGTCCAAATGATATTACAGAGGAAGTAATTGAAACAGAAGAAATTCCCCCATATTACCGAGAAGATCCCACAGAACGACTAAAGGAATCCCACCAAACAGATTCTCATACATGGCTAAGAATGAAGAAATCAAAGTTCCTAAAGACTGGGAAGAACTGCAAACTTTTCCTACCAAAGAAAAGGAACTGTGGTTAAAAGCTACGAAAGAAGAAATGGAAGCACTGAAGAGGAACAAAACATGGGAACTAGTCGATCTTCCAAAAGGAAAGAAAGCAATTGGAAACAAATGGACATTTAAAACAAAATCCGACGCTTCAGGAAATATTATCAGATATAAAGCTCGTTTAGTAGCTAAAGGATATTGCCAAAAATTTGGGCACGACTACGACGAAACATTCGCACCAGTCGTAAAATATACAACAATAAGGACTATTTTGGCAATAGCAGCTCAAAGGAAAATGCACGTAAATCACTTCGATGTAAAAACAGCTTTTCTATATGGAGATCTGAAAGAAGATATATATATGGAGCAAACAGAAGGCTACATTTCTGCTTCAGAAGCAAATAAAGTCTGTAAACTGAATAAAAGTATTAACGAACTAAAACAGGCAGCCAGAAACTGGAATCACAAGATAGCTGAAATCCTGCGCAAACAAGGATACGTTCAAGGAAAGGCTGATCCATGTTCCTTCACACTAATCGAGAAAAACGCAAGAACTTACATAATCGTTTACGTTGATGACATATTAGTCGCGAGCGACAAGTGTGAATCAATTCAAGAAGTTGAACGAATTCTCAAAGAATATTTCGACATTCGAAATCTTGGAGAAGTGTCTACATATCTAGGAATTGAAATCGAAAGAGAAAAAGACGGAAGCTTTAAACTTCATCAAGCTAACAAGATTAATAGTATGATCGAAAAATTCGACGGAGAGTCACCAAAGAAACTAAGCTATACACCCATGACTACGAATTTTACGAAGAACCAAAACAACCAGGATGACGTTTTTCCCGATAATCGGAAGTATAGGGAAGCAGTGGGAGCACTTTTTATATTTAGCAACAGTATCAAGACCTGACATAGCAAATTCTGTTGGAATACTTAGCAGAAAAGTAGAAAATCCATCAACATCGGACTGGAACGGTATCATTAAAATCATACGATATCTTGAGAGCTAC